TTTTTATTTTTTTTTATTTTTTTATTTTTTTTTAGAATTTTTAATATTTATTTTTTAGTTCTCGGCGGACACAACATCTTTGTTGGTATGTGGTGCTGAGGATCGAACCCGGGCCGCACGCATGCCAGGCGAGCGCGCTACCACTTRAGCCACATCCCCAGCCCCACCTTTTTATTTTTTAAGACAGGATCCCACTAAGTTGCTTAGGACCTGGCTAAATTGCTGAGGCTGGCTTTGAACTTGTGATCCTCCTGCCTCAGCCTCCTGAGTCATGGGGATTACTGGCATATGCCACCATGCCCAGCTCTTTTTTTTTTATTTGGTACCAGAGATTGAACTCAGGGGCACTTGGCCACTGAGCTACATCCCCAGCCCTATTTTGTATTTTATTTAGAGACAGGGTCTCACTGAGTTCCTTAGCGCCTTGTCATTGCTGAGGCTGGCTTTGAACTCAGGATTCTCCTGGCTCAGCCTCCCAGCTCAGCTCTTTTTATTTTGAGGCTGGAGCTCCCTGTGTTGCTGAAGCTGCCCTCCATTTATGATCCTCCTCCTCAGCCTCTGCAGTTGCTGGGTTTACAGGTGTGATTCACTATGTCCAGTGTAGCCTTCAGGCTTCTTGATAAGAAACTTGTTTTTCAGCTTGGTGAACCCTCTGCTGAGCATCTGCAGCTCCACTCCTCCTCTCACCCCCACTTGTTCTCTGTTGAGATGAAATGAGGTTGGGCATAGATCCTCCATGCTAGGACCTCACAAACCTGCCTCGCTTTATAAGAATAAATCTGGGAAGGGCTGGAGTTGTGGCTCGGTGGCAGAGCGCTTACCTGGCACATGTGAAGCTCTGGGTTCCATCCTCAGCAACACATGTAAATAAATGAAAAAAAATAGAAGTATAAAAGTATTATGTTCATCCACATCTAAAAATAAAAATTAAAAAAAGAATCAATCTGGGAAAATTGTTCTGATTGTTGGGCAGGGTTGGTTGGTTTGTTTGTTTTTTGTGTGTGTACCAGGGGTTGAATCCAGGGGCACTTAACCACTGAGCCATGTCCTCATCCCCAGCCCCTCTCTCTCTCTCTCTCTCTCTCTCTCTCTCTCTCTATATATATATATATATATATATATATATATATATATAATTTTATTTATTTATCTATTTATTTTTTGAGACAGGGTATTGCTAAGTTGCTGAGTCTGGCTTTTAACTCATGATCATCCTGCCTCAGCCTCCCAAGTTGCTGGGATTACAAGCAAGTGGCCCCGGCCCCGCCTGTTGTTCAGTTTTAACATGGAGCAGAGATGGAACAGAAGAGTTGAAGAGTGAGGTGGCCAGGCTGGGCACCCATCTTCCGGAGCCATCTTCCAGGAGCAGGCCAAGCCTTTGCTGCCTGATCCCACAGCCCTTGTTGGAGCTCCTTGGGCCCTGAGGAGCTAAAGATAAACCCTGGACACAGATAACAACAGCCTGTTTTCTATTCAAGTGCTCACTTCCTTTTGGATAGTGAGAGCCATTATGGACTCCATAAACTCCTCCAGTCCCTTTGGGGTATTGGAATTTTGTCGGGAACATCATCTATTGGAGAAGGAGCATTGACCAGGAGCTGCAGGGGATTTCCTGCTGGGGATTCCAGCAGGATCCTCTGATGCAGGCACTTCATCCTCCTATTGATTCACTTGTTCCTGTCCTAGGCTTTAGTCTTTGGTTACAGTTCATTCTTTTTCTTTTTTGGTGCCAGGGATTGAACCCAGGGGCCCTTGTAACCACATCTCAGCACTTCGAGCCTCACTAAATTGTTGAGGCTGGCTTTCAACCTGCAGTCCTCCTGCTTCAGCCTCCCAAATTGCTGGGATTACAGGTGTGTGCCACCACACCCGG